GGGCCGCCCCGCCTCGTCCTCCGGCCCCGGCCCGACCCCGCGCGGCGCGGACGGGACGCTGGCGGAGGGCGGCCAAGCGCTTACCTGGCGCTCCGCTCCGCGGGGAGCAGGGCCGCTGGGTGGCCCGGGGAGGGGAAAAGGGTCGGGGGAGGGGGCGGGGAGAGGGGGGCGCCCTGGAGAGGTGGAACTTCGGAGCCGCTCCCGCCGCCGCCACGGCCGCCGCCTCCTTTCCGATTCACTCAAACAAACAAGATGGCGGCCGTTACACCGCGGCTCTTCCTGCCGCCCAAATCCTCGGTTCAAATCGGCAGGATGTTTACGGTCAAAACGGTCCCTGTGCGCCTGCGCAGCCAACCTGCGCCGCAGAAGGAGCGACGCACGCGCAATGACCATTTCCTTTCCGTTGGAACCCGCCCCCTGGCTGGGAAGTCGCGAAGTGCGCAGGCGCAGAGGCGATTCTTGGGCGAGAGGGTCTTGGAGAGTTGCGGACCTGGCAAACAGCGCACGCGCAGTACTTCCCAGTACGGTGTCGGGGTCAAACTGAATTTTGCGCTTATTCCAGAGAGCTGTCGTAGCGCAGTTTTGTGTGCGACTAACAAAAAAATTCATGTAACGGAGTTTATAGCGACAAAGGATACACAGAAACCTTATGCATTCAACCTGTGCTTATAGGGTCTTCTGTCTCCCATAGGACATGCTAGCAAGGCCCTAGGATTTGATACTAAGCACAAGGGAGGTAATCCCTGCTCTCCCGCAGTTTGGGGATCATTTGGGGAGGAGTCGTAAGACTTTTTACAAGTGTTTATTTGTACCATGAAGAGCGGGTATGGATGGAGAAATCATCGCACTGCCTGGTTTCTGAGTGTAGACTCAATTCACACAGCTGCCAACCCTTGGCCCGCCTTCCCATGCGGGGATTTTCTAGGCTTTCTGCACACACTGCAACCCCAGTCCCCGAAGTATTCCGGGTTGGGTTCTTTTGAACAGATGAATGTTCTGTTCTTGCTCAACATCCCATCCTGTCAACAGAACCATTGGCCTCCTTGTACTGAAACGTCAAGTTTCTTATTGCAGGAGTTAACTGCGGACTGTCTCCTCCTTCCTGGAAATACTTAGCCAGTGATTGTACTTGTAATTGTCTGCTTTCGGAATTGTGAATTTGTTGAACTGGACCTATGACCGGGTGGGTTTGAATGAGAGATTCAGTCTTCCTTTATTTGAAAACGATCTGCTTTCCTCTTCTTAATACTCAGCTGGTAATTTGTATGATTTGAGATAATCACCGAGAAACTGCATTTTACCACTTAGCGTGTCTGTAGAAACAACTGGGTTCTGTCTTCTATTATTATTTCACAACACACACTATTTTCTAGACTTGTTCCTCTGAACTCGCAAACTTAGAACACAGTTCTTTATGACATTAAAAAATAGTAAATAGAAGGGGATAGATGAAGAGATGAATAAGGCAAAAGGAGAGTTTCAGGAGTAATTTAATGTTAGGAATGGGTGGATATTAAAAATGTGGCACCAGAATTTAAAAAAAATGATTTCAGTTCAGAACATTCAGAGTCTAAAGTACTTGTTTTACGAGGTTTCTAAAGTTGACGAAAAGTTCAGAAAGAGTAAGTAGCCTCTTTAAGGTTTTGGATTAATTGAAAAAAATGAATGGAAAGTGTTCGAAAACTACAACATCAACAAAAACAAAACCTCTCTCCCTAAAAGGCATTTTAATCAATAAAAGACTGTATTTTAAGGTTAAAATTTATAGTAAAAAATGTTCTCATCAGGCACAGAAATTATGTGACAAGCAAGAGGAATTAAGGACAAATGTAATTTAAATATCAATTCTGAATACACTAGATATTAAGTTAATGAGTGATAATGGTGCGTTCGGTGTTAGATCCTCAGACTCAGGAGAAAGCTGAGGGATTTGAGTCCAGGCTGCTGGATCTCTGTCAGAGCTGGGCTAGGGGTCCCTCCTCAGGGCAGGCAGGCATCAGTGAAGAAGAGGAGCCATGGTCTTGAGTCCCAGAAGGTGCAGGGCACAGCTGGTGGAACGTGGTCTCGGGGTTGTCGAGAGTCTGGACAGCAGGGAAAAGCTCAGAGGCAGAAACCGAATCAGAGTCTATGCTGATCACTTGGGGTTTTCTCAGAAAAATCTCACGATGCTGACATTTCGATACTGAGAAGGTTTTTAACTCCTTAGCTGGAAATTTTGTCAGTGACCGTTTTGATACATTTTCCCTATCTTCATCCCCATCGTCTCCTCTGTAAGGGTGCTGAATCCTTGAAAATAATGGATGCTTAGTAAAAGCAGATGGGTAGCATTTGCTCTAAAACTTGCTAGTTTTCCATTCCAGAACAATGCGAACATTTTATTGTTAATATGGCATACATTGTTCCTTTCATTCTGCAAAATGGCTTAGAAGAACTATTGGAAACTAAGGAAAACGGGGTTGGGACAAAGTAGGGGAAAATTGGGATTGAGGTAGAGTTCTTAAAAGGACCTGACCACTGGGCATAGTGGCGAACAGCTATAATCCCGCCAATAAGGGAGGCTGAGGCAGGAGGATCAGAAATCTGAGTCCCACCTGGGCAACTTAGTGAGACCCTGTCTCAAAGTTATACATAAATAAATAAAAACAAAATGGCTGCGATGTAGCTCAGTGCTATCATGTTCCTGGATTTGACTGCAGTGCAGTTCTGGAAAGAAAAGAAAACACCCCCAAGTAGTGCAACTAATTGGCAATAATCCTAATAAAAAAATCACTGCACACTTTAAAAAAAAGTGTTCAATTACTACCCCGCTGAGGAGATACAACAAACATATTACTTTTACTACAAAGAATGTGAAGGTACTTGATGAAGGGGTGTGAGGAAAGGCAGAAGCTGCTGTCATGAAAGAAGGGAAAAATACAGGGCAGAGATGAAACTGATGCAGAGAAGTGCTTCAAAGACACAGCACAGGCTGGACTGAGCCGACTTGCAGTGAATGTCGTCATGCAAGACGTTCTTGGTTTTCTGTACCTTGACAACAAAAATTGTGGTATTAAAATCACGCCTACATGAGCGTAACTTCCACGTTATTTGGAAATCCTTCCTCTATTTACTAATCGCATATGAGGAATGAGCATTATTACAGAAACACTGTAACAGAATAGATGGAAGTTCTTTGTAGGACTAAAATTGCCCAGTCTTTATCAGCGGGTTGTAATATATTCATGGTAGGTGACCTAGAGTGACACACTCAGTTTTCATGGGCTTATTACTTGCCTGGGGCTCTTGTTTAAATCAAACTTGAATTCAGTAGGTTGGGTGGGGTTTGGGAGTCTGCTTTTTAAAAAGCTTGGAGGTAATTCCAAGGTTCTGGTATGTGGACCATAGGTTTTTGAAACTAGACTTTAAAATCAACCTGGTTTGCCCTGTAGTTCTTCCCTTCAGTATTTAGTAGCTGTGTGGCTTTGTGAAGTTGCTCAACCTCTCTGAGTTTTATTCATGTATAAAATCAGGCTACTTATATCTACTCTCCTAATGCTTTTGCGTCCATTTTATGTGATAAAGTCTATAAAGTATCTAGCACAGTGTGTGACGCATTGTTTGAGCACAGTAGCGCATAGTTATATGTTAATATTGTGCTTACTATTATTGGTATTCAGATATCATACTTATTTGGTCTCATATTTACTATTTGTTTCACTGGAGAGCTGCTGACTGTCCTTCGCTATTGACCCTTACTCCATGCTGAGCTCTATAAGGCAAGATGAGAGTTGTCTCTCAATCTCTGGCTCTTTACTTTTGTACATGGCACCTGGCTAAAAGGAGGTTACATTTCTCAATCTCCCTACTACAGGTGGTTGTGCGACTATGTTTTATGTGGGCTTTCCTAGAAGATTTATAAAAAAAGGAGTGTTTTCCTCTTTCCCCTGTCTTATTGCTTGAAACCTAGATGTGATGATTAGTGCTCCAGCAGCCACTGTGGACAATGAGGATGAAGGTTAAATGAAGGACAGAAAGGCGGTGACAATGGACAGGTCCAAGTCCATGCTAACTTTGTGGCGTTGTCATTTATGTCTTCCTCTGTCTACATTTAGACCTCTTCATTTTGTAAATGACAAAGTCCTGTCTTGATATTTTGGGGTTTTCTTTTTTCCTGGTATGTGTAGCTGTAACTAATTTAGATATAAGCATTTATCGAGTTCAGTTACTTTATATGATACAGGAGATACCAAAAGGGATGTCTCAGCTCTAATTTCAAAGAGCTCAACCATCTATGCCATCCTCAGGTTTCTTTCACAGAGTACTGTTCTATAATTTCAGCGGCAGGTTTCCCTTTATAAGCTTCACTGTGAAGTACCCATCTCCCCTTACTGTATTTTTGATCATGCTGGTAAGTCTCCCACCAAACGTGTTCCTCCGTCCATTACATTCTTCTTTAAAGACACATTCTAAACCACAGAGGGAAAATCAAGACCTGCGAATCAGTACATACACAGCCTGCTGTCTTGGTTACTTTTGTCCTTACTGAGGCAAAATACCCAACACCCAAAGTTAAAGGAGAAAAGGTTTATTGCAGCTCACAGTTTATAGAGGTTTCAGTTCAGAGTTGTCTGGCTCCAAGGCAGGGTGGCACCGCAGAGGGGCATCGCAGAGCAGGCAGGCAGAAGGCAGCAAGAGGCGGAGTAGTGAAGCAGCAGCAGCATGCAGTGAGGCCGAAGCCTCTCCCTTTTATCCTTTCCAGGCTACCTGCCCTTGGGTGGTGGCGGCCACACCCAGGTGGGCCTTCCCACTATCCACACCCAGAACTGTGCCAAACCAATCACTGGACGGTTGAGTAATCACATGCCCTTAATCCCAGCATCACACACTTCCGATCCAGCCACCTCTAAAAAGCCCCTCCCATGGCTGCATGTGGCTTTGGAGGACCATCTAGACACAGCCCTAATTCTGCTTCTCTTATTGCTTTGCAAACTTTCAGACTCACTACCTTCACAGTGAAGAGTTCAATTCACAAGTTTAATCTTCAGACTTGCAGCTCCTGTTCTAGGCTTCCCGCTCCTGTTCTAGGCTTCCCGACAGCACTTCAGGTTTCCTTTGAGGGCAGCCTTCCACGTCATCTGAAATGCTTAATGTCTGGTGGATGCGATGATTCTCTTCTATCCCTCTCCAAAAG